CTCTACCACTTGAGCCACAGCACCACTTCCGGCTTTTTGCTTATGTGGTGCTGAGGAATCGAACCCAGGGCCTCAGGCATGCAAGGCAAGTGCTCTGCCACTGAGCCAACTTTCCAGCCCTTGACAATTTTTATAACTATGTTCATCAAGGAAAATATTCTGTAATTTCCTTTTTCTGTGTGTCTTTATAAATTTTGAGTATCAGGATATGTTCCTAGAATGTGTTCTTTGAATTTCACTGCATATGTGAGGGAGTCGTTTCAGGAATACCCATGTTATATTTTTTAAAGTCTATTAAAGTTTGTTGGTGAATATAACCTGTCTTGAAACTCTTCTTTGTTGGGAGACTATTACTGCTCAATCTCATTGCTTGCTATTGATTTATTTAAAGACATATCTTCTTATTTCAATTTTGATAGGTGAAATGAATTAAAAATGCATCATTTCCCACATTTTCCCAGTTATTAGTATATAAGTTTAAAATATTTCCTAATGATACTTTGAATTTTATAGTTATTTATTGTGATACTTCATTTTTCATATCTAACTTTATTGATTTAGATCTTTTCTTTTTTGCTGTTTCACTAGGGATTTACCATCCTCATTTCAAAAACTGACATTTTGTTTTATTCATTCTTTGTGTGTGTATATATATATATATTTTTTTTTTTTGGTCTGTCATTGGGCTTGAATACTGGGTCTGAGTGCTGTCCCTCAGCTCTTCAGCTTAAGGCTAGTGCTCTACCACTTGAGCCATGGTGCACTTCTGGTTTTCTGAGTGTTTTATTGGAGAATAAGAATCTTACGCACTTCCCTGCTTTGGCTGGCTTTGAACTGAGATCCTCAGATCTCAGCCTCCTGAGTAGCTAGAATTACAGGCGTGAGCCATCAGCCACCAGTATATTGTTAAGTATCCATTTAATTCATTTCTGTCCTAAATACTACTGCTTTCATCTATTACTTTTGGGGTTGCTGTGTATGTGTGAGTGTGTAGCACGTCAGTGGTAGTTTGTATGGCATCTGGGCTTTTCCATGATTTGGCTATGGTGAATTGTGTTAGGTGTTTTTCATTGTTCTGGCTGGCACCAGGCCATATTGGCCCTCCACGCGGCTGGGAAAGGCCTGGGAAAGACCTGGGAAAGAGTGTCTGGGCCTGGGTTAGGCCTTATCTAGGGAGAGAAAGGTGTGGCCACATCAAATTCAGATGTGACCTCAGCAGATGCATAGTCAGTCTGGTGAGTGAAGGAGAGCTGACCAGGCAGAAGCGGTGTCCCAACTTCTCCCAGAGCCCTCTAGAGAGAAATGGCCAAGCCCCCCAAACCAAGTGTCTTGGCTTCAGAGGTGACGGGCCTTTCAGCTAAAGGCTGTAGGAGCTCACTGGTTTGGCGCCACGGTCTGGACAGAGACTGAGCAACAGAGAACCGTAGAGAGTAGTTTCACTCACCAGAGTAGAGAGGTGGTGTTGACATGGATGTGAAGGCCAGCAATGGTATCGATGTGCTGTGTCCGCAGCAGACAGATGGGTTTGCAAAAGGCTGTCAGAACTGTCGGTATTCCTCAGAGAAAAAAAAGTGGAAAAAACAGAGAGGAATCCCACCTATCCTGACTTTAAGCCCTTCCCGGGTTTAGGCACCATTCATGTTAGGTTTTTAAAAAGAGATGGCCGAATAAGAATCACACCATGCATGTGGTATTCAGGTAAGGGGTAGGTTTATTCATGGTTCTGGCTGGCACCAGGCCATCTTGGCCCTCCACCAGACTAGGAAAGGCCTGGAAAAGACCTGGGAAAGAGTGCATCTGGGCCTGGGCTAGGCCTTATGTAGGATATGGGCAGAGAAAGGTGTGGCCACATCAAATTCAGATGTGACCTCAGCGGATGCAGATGTGACCTCTTCCAGGTGTGCCAGTTGCCTAGGTAACGCAGGTACTGGGTGGAGACTTTTCTGCGAGGAGGGTGGAGTCTGCTCGCCATCCAGGAGTGGACCTTACAAATTGTGTTGCAATGAATATTAGTGTACATGTACGAATTTTATACTGACTTACATTCTTTTGGATAAATGTCCCAAAGTGGGGTTGTTGGATCATAGGGCTGTTCTTTTTGTTAATATTTTTGAGGAATCTCCATAATGGTTTCCGTAGTGGTTGTACTAATTTACATGATTACCAACAGTGTATTTATTAGAGCTTCTTTTCCTACTCTTTATTTTTTTGTTGTTGTCGGTCATGGGGCCTGAACTCTGGGCCTGGGCGCTGTCCCTCAGCGAGCGCTCTACCACTTGAGCCACAGCGCCACTTCCGGTTTTCTGGTGGTTCATTGTTGATAAGGGTCTGGCAGGGCTGGGCTCCCATGGTTCCTGCGGCTCCCGCCTGTAATCCTAGCTCCTCAGGAGGCTGAGATCAGAGGATCGCGGTTCAAAGCCAGCCTGGGCAGGAAAGTCCTTAAGACCCTTATCTCCAATAAGCCACACAGAAAACTGGAAGTGGCGCTGTGGCTCAAGCAGTAGAGCGCTCGCCTTGAGCTGAAGAGCTGAGGGACAGCGCCCAGGCCCAGAGTTCAAACCGCGTGACCAAACAGTCCGGCTTTCCGCGTGTTGTGAATGAAGGCGTCACGCGGCCGCAGCCCGCATGCGCACTGCGGTGGCCCCTGCCGGGTGACGTCACAAAGGGCCCAGCCGGGCCTGGCGTCCTCAGCGACCAGAGGAGAAGGAAGCCGGCGGCCCTCGCGGTTTCTCCTCGCCTTTGCTGAGTATTCGCCGCATGCGCCGTCATGCGACACTTCCCCGCTCGGCCTCGGGGCTGGGCAGCGGCTTTCCAGGGCAGGCGGCTTTCCAGGGCAGGCCCTGAGCCTGCCGGCTGGCCAGGGCCTAGCACGGCCCAGCCCGACCTCAGGCTGCTGCTGTCTTCCGCGCGTCGCCGCCGGGCCCCGCGAGGCCGCAGGCTGCACGCCGGGCAAAGGCCCTGCGGCGTCTCGGGAGGACTCCACCCCGAGAGCGGGGCCCGCGCTGCCAGGTGGACACTCGGGGGCGGGGACCGCCCGCAGGAGCGCGGGCACCCCGTCTTCGTGGCGGAGATCCTCGCTGCTCGCGTCTGCACCCCAGCCGCCTGCTCAGGCCGGGGAGCCCAAGACTCCAGCCCATCCGCATCGCCCTCACTGCCAGGACCCCGAAGCCAAGGGCCCAGGAGGCCCCTCCAGGAAGATCCGAATGCAGGGAGAGCCCACGGGACAGGCCAGAGAGCAGGGGGATCGCCCGAGCCTGGCAGACGACGCGCCAGGCCCTCCTGTGGGGATCAGGAGAACCTTCGCTCTCCAGGGAAGCTGTTCTCGTCCCCAGCAGCGAGTTCTTCCCGAAGAGGACAGAGGGGCTTGTGCACCTCCTACGAGCACCTCATGTCACGGCTGTGACATGCCCAGCTCGCAAAGCTCCGCCATGGCCGGCGAGAGCCGCCTCCCCATCTGCTCAGACTCGCAGGAGCCAGGGAAGGAGGTGGAGGCTGACAAGCCCACAGCTAGTCCCCCAGCAAGCCATGCTCCCCCAAAGACACCTGCGCGGACAGCCGCCAAGAGGAAAACATCCCTGACATCGGATCTTCCCCTGCCACTACCACTGCCCCGGCCTGTACCCTGGGGTCGAGGTGAGCTCCCCCCACCCGCAAAACTTCCTTGTATTGAAATGCAGAGAGACCGGGGCATTAGTGAGAGCCATCTGTCTCCTAAGAGAAAAAACTGTAAGGCAAAAGCCTGGGAGGGTAGACCAGAGGCAGTGACACATGGCAGGGCCACCGTGTCTGCCTCTTCTGTTTGCCCACCTGATGCGGGGACCGGTGTCCCCCGCTACCTGCCTACTTGCACTGCAGACATTGCAGCTCTTCCCAGCACTGGGAATGCCACTGGGGCCCACAGCCTGAGAGCAGACTCATCAAATCCTAAAGAGGGACTGACCCCTAAAATCCCCCGTGGCTGTTTGTCTGCCCCTACTGACTCTGCTCCTCATAATACCCCTGCTGCTAATTTGGGGGTTCGAAAGGGTGAGAATGAACACCATCCTCTTGGATCAAAAGCTACAACCCCCTCTACTTCTGGCTTCCCCAAACCACCTCCCCCTGAATGTTTGCCTCTCTCTTCCCCTGTCCCTATGAGTGTCGATTCCCCTCTTCCTCTTTCTGTCCCTACCTACCCTCCCGTGGTCCCAAAATGTATGCCATGTTTGACCACTGAAACCACCACAGTTTTTGTCACACTTGCCCCCAGGGTATCTTCTCGTGTGGCCACTCGAATGGCTACACATGATGATATTGTTGACATGGATACAACACCACCTTCAGAGGCAGTAATTTTTACATCTCCCCTAGTTTCCAGCAACAACTCCTATACATCTTCCCAGGCCTCCTGTAGCCTGCAGCAGGGGCACATTCTGAGTGGGCCAGTACCTACCATCCCACCTACACCCCACCCCTATCCATCCCCCCAGGTCCCCTACATCCTGTGTCAGGGGCATCTTCCAAATGGACCAGTCCCCACAAACCTCCCTCCACCCCAACCTTATCCTTTTCCTCCAGTCCCGTGTAGTCTGGATCAGGGACAGCTGATGATGAGGCCAGTTCCCACTAACCCACCTCTGCCTATGGTCCCCTATCAACACTTTGTACCTCAGACCAATGTCATCCCTAAAGTGCCCCAGCACAGTGTGCCTATCCCCCTGTCTACAGTTCCTTCTGTCCCTTCCAACATGGGCTCAGTCACCGTCCCTGTTTCTGGAGGCAATGCTTCCTTACCAGCTAAATCACCCACGGATGATGATAGTGCTATGGATACAACACCTCCTTCACAGGCATCAATTTTTCAATCTCCTGTATCAATGAACAACCACCCTGCATTGAACCAGATGCCTCCTGCTTCTAATAACCAGCCACATAGTGGCATAATTTCTACCATGCAAGGACCTGCTAATTCAAGTGTACAGCCCCAACTTATACAAGGACTAAACTACAATATTGGAAATCTTTCCAATATAAGAGCCATCCCTCAGCCCACATTGGGGGTCTCTAATGGACAATGTAACAATGGTTGTTTTCAGAGTGTCCCAGCACTCATAACACCAGCTAATGGCCTAATTGCTCCTCCAGTGCAACTACCCAGACATACCACCATGCAATCCATCACATCATCGTCCTCTGCAGTGAACCCTGCAGTCATCACCCCACAAGCCTCTTCTACAAACTCTCAGAGTGCTGTGTACACTGCCACACCTACAACGGATAGCATGAAAATCCCCACGTTGACAGGTTGTGGTGACGCGAATTCACCAATTCACCAAGCCACCCCTGGCACATCAGCTGTCATGGGCAATAGAGTTTCATCAAATCCAGGACACTCGCGGTTTGGCACATCCTCCAGTGGTTCACATTCGGATGCTAGAGATTCACATATCAACCGCAGGTGTAGATTACAAATGTAGAGGCATCTGACTTTCCCACAGGACTCATTGGATTCCTTCACTTCTCCTTACATGGACAAAACATGGCCTCATCTCTACACAGTGTGATGGACACGTCAGGAGGTTCCACTGGACAGTATAAAAGGACTGTGTGTGACTCGCCGGTGCCCCTGCCTGGCTTGCGGACCCTGACTTGAGCGATCAGCCAGTTTTCAGAAGCCATACAACTAGCAACAAGATAAATTTCTTTTTTCTATAGTTTACTTCAACACCCCTTATATCTCCCCAGTTAAATATAGAAAAACCCAAATGTTCATTTACAAAGTAAAAGTTAAATGACTTTGATATAATTGATTTGTCACTCTTCCTTTGGGGGATTATATCAGACATTAGGGCTTCCATACAAATGAGACACATAGGTTTGAGTTTGAGTCAGAATAGTGAAGCTTCCATATAAATAGAAGAGAAAGGAAATAGATATAGAATCAGAGCTGTAAAGTGAATATAAAAGATATTTTAAAAAAGTTTGGATTCCTGAATTAGAGAGTTGCAAGGGAATTTGTTCCTTAGACCTGTGAACATGCACATATATTCTTGCATGCTCCAGGAACTACCTTTTTTTGAGGGAGGAATTTGAACTCATGGAGACTTATGCTTGCTATGCTCAATTTGTTGGCGGCTGGTCTATCACTTGAGCCATACTTCCAGAGCTTTTTATTAATTGGAGTTGGAATATCTTTAACTGCCTAGCTTGGCTGTGAAGTATGATCCTTTGGATCCTGGCCTCTCGAATAGAGAGGATTACAAGCATGGGCCTCTTGTATCCAGCTTACCGGGATTTTTCAGCTACTCCCCATTCTGTCTTCACTTGTTTGTATGACATTAGTTTCAGATCTTTTTTTTTTTTTTTTTTTGTCCGTCATGGGGCTTGAACTCTGGGTCTGGGCGCTGTACCTCAGCTCTTCAGCTCAAGGCTTGGGCTCTACCACTTGAGCTACAGCGCCACTTCCGGTTTTCTGGTGGTTTATTGGAGATAGGAGTCTCATGGTCTCTCCTGCGCGAGCTGGCTTTGAACCGCGATCCTCAGATCTCAGCCTCCTGAGTAGCTAGGATTACAGGCATGAGCCACCAGCGCCCGGCTAGTTTCAGATCTTAAAAATACTCAGATGAACTGGGCGCTGGTGGCTTATGCCTGTAACCTAGCTACTCAGGAGGCTGAGATCTGAGGATCGCGGTTCAAAGCCAGCTCGCGCAGGAGAGACCATGAGACTCCTATCTCCAATAAACCACCAGAAAACTGGAAGTGGCGCTGTGGCTCAAGTGGTAGAGTGCTAGCCTTGAGCTGAAGAGCTGAGGGACAGCGCCCAGGCC